ACAAGGTATAAAAAGAAAATTAAGATTTTTGTTCCAAAGTAAATTTTGCGTTCATTTTCCATATTTGTTCCATTTCCACAACCTTAACCAAGCATGTCTTCAACATTCAAAGTTCATCAGATGCGAAACATTTGCAACAAGAACAAAAGCTGCAATTCAATTTCTCAGAATAAACATGCCATTTTCTAACCTCTGACTCCCCGTTGTTTATTTGCCTGATTATAATTTGTTTATATTTTTTAACAAAATCTGTTTCAACTAAATCAGCTCGCAATTTTTCGTCAATAATGCCCAATGAATAATTTAAGCTTTCCCAGGCTTGCGCTTATGGGATTGAACACTAGATAATTTCTTTTTAAATTCCACGGTAACTTCAAACAAAGAAAAGATTAAATAAGTAGATTAAGTAAAGCTGTTATTTACTAATTTGCACAGTTATTAATTGGTTAATTGTTTCTACTGATAACTCATTGCAAAATTAATATGCTTTTTATATCTCCGCATTCCCAGTTAAGTTAAATTGTGCATTATAATTTATTTATTAAGTGTTCTAAATTTCATATAAAATAAAAATGTAAATAATATACTATAAATTAAATTTCCAAAACTCAATTTGGCGCCCCCTAAGGCGTGCGCCTGCATTTTTTGCATGCATCGCATGCAAGACAAGACCGGCCCTGCTCAGTGACATGAGAAATCATCAATAAATGATTGGTCAACAATGTGTTAAATTGAAAAAGCCAGCATAAGTAACAAAACCATTTAAGATGGAAAATATTTTTATAATTTTTTTTTTATAATTTTTTTGAACAGCAATCAGAACTAATGGGTTCTATGAGCTGTTGTGAGTAAGATCTTTACAAACTACGTTTGTTTTATTACAGATGGCAACCCAAACAGTTGTCACATCTCTGTATGATAAATTTTTATTACAATCTCTGTAATAGGGCAAGTATGGTGTAACAATGCCGGTGAGGGCTATTTTCACTTGGAAACATATTGCTATCTATATTTCCAAGTAAAAATCTTTGTCAATGTTGCCTCACAACAGGCTGCTCGAAGTGGGAATCGAACCCGGGACCTCTGAAACAAGTCCCGTTGCTCTTAACCGCTTACCTACGGGCGAGCCCAAGATGGAAAATATATAAATAATAAAATGATATCAGATCAACAAGGTTTATCCTTTTAATTAATATTGGAGAAAGGAAATAAATATTTTTTGCCAACTACTGATAAAATGTGTCTTAAAATGTTTCATAAATTACAACATATTTAATTTTTGCGATCAAATTAACTCTGTTATGGAAAAACATGCAAGAACTTACTTAATACGATCGCTTACTTCAGTTACCTCAAATAGCTCCTAAATAGAGGATAATTTCGTTATGTAAGACATTCATCATGTTGAATAGTTTTTCTTCACCGACACCTAAAAATAAAAATGATTATAATATTTTATATAAAGAAATAAAAATAATCAGATGTTTGAAAAGTAATTTCGTTTTTAATAGATTTTTTGATGAATAATTTTTTATGTAATAAATATTTTATTAGATTATATATTGGCCGTTTAACTCAGACATCTTCATTCAAATTTCTGGGAATAGTGCAATTCCAGGATCATAATTTTTTTGGTTGTTATTGAAATAACTGAAAACAGATATGTCTTTTAAAATCTCACCAAACACACAGCATCACCTGTTTCTGGTGAATATTGGCTTGCAACTGGTTTGAGAAAGTTCTTCTTTTTTGTTTCATGAGCAATTGCATGAGATACATTGTATTCAACTCAATTTTCATTTCTAGTTGTAATTTTCTTCAAAAACCAATCATTTTCACATAAGTGATTCGCAGACTTCAATAAAGCAACACAGGTTTCTCTCTATGGGAAACTCATACATTGAGTTTTAAAAAAAATACCTTTACCTTTCGAGTGGTCATTGAATGAAATTGAACAATTGAATTTGATAAATTTCGCTATTTGCTGGTCTCCATCAATGAATGCCTTTCACACATCTTTATCAACATCAACAGTTCTTTATGAACGTGATGCACCTTCAACATCAAATATTCCTGATCGAAATTTAACAAATCAGTCTTGGCACTGTTGTACAGGAAACATCTTTCTATACATATCAGTCAATTTCATCCTGGCTGATTGTAATGTTTTTTACAGATCAGCATTTTTTACATAGTTTAATACAACCTTAATAAGTTTCAAATCATATAATAATTATAGGGCTAAAGTGTGATGTTAGTTTCAAAATAAATACAATTAAATCGTCTGTAGTAAAACAACGAAACTACTTTCCTAACAACCTTATATGATTTTAAATAGTATCAAGAAGAAAGAAAACATGAAATGCCCACAAAAAAGTTGTTAAAATATATTTAACATGTATTAGTCATAACCTCAACCCGAAATTGAAGCAATATCGAAGAGCAACAAAGTACGTACTCAATAATCATAAATAAGACAAACAATAAGTTTAAAATTAAATTAATAGCGTGGCACAAAAACGAATATGAAATTCACAAGCAAATGCAGAATAAAATGCTGTCAAAGTTCTTAGCTTTATTCACAAATTAATCTAATAAGGTTAATGATTAACTCATTAAAATACTAACCATAAGTCTGTAAATAATAATATCGCCAATTAAGTTCATTGATCGTCCATTAAAGCACTGAACTTAAACAAAATAGAATTAATATCCAAAACCCTAGGCAATATAATACCCAAAACAGACATGTTGAAACACATCCGAAGCACCGAATGACATAAATAACGTTAAACGAAGAATGTATGTGTGAAATTAAGTAAATAAATAAAATTTTTTGGTACACTCATTTAAATTATACCTTTTCTTTTTAAGGACAACATGCCTGATGTACTCGGTAATTTGAATAGCAGAACCTCCGAAGCAAAACGAACGAAGTATGAGCCTGAAATTCGAAAATTTGCGAAGACCCTACAGTTTTACTCGAGTAGGGCCTACGATTTCGTTCGCCAAAAATTCGAAAATTTATTGCCTGCGCCATCGTCAATTCGACAGTGGCTGTACGTGTTGGACTCGACTCCGGGATTCAATAGAAATATTCTGGAAAGACTTAAAATTTATTCTGAAACTACAGGTGTTTCACTTGTTTGCTATTTCATAATTGACGAAATTTCACTCAAGGCGCATACTGTAACAAAACATGGAAGTGCGTTTTGGCTATATACGAGTAGATATTGGAGTTGATCCATTCACCAAGAAACCTCTCTGCTGGGAGTCTCCTGATTTAGCAAACCACGCATTGGTGTTTATGATGGTGGATTTGAAAGGGCAATTCGAGGCCACCCCAGCTTATTTCCTTATTACCAAATTGAATGGAGTTGAACACGCTAACCTTGTACGTATAATGCTGAATCTCTTGTATGAGTACGGTCTTGTATGAGTACGTCAAGGTTCATTCTATAACCTATGACGGTGATCGAGTGAATGAATCCATGGTGCATTCACTGGGAGCACGTACGAAAATTGAATATTCCGGTGCAAAACTTTTCCCAGCAACTGGTCACAGTGTGTGGTTATTTCCAGATTCCTGCCACATGTTGAAAAATGCTCGCAATGCACTTGTGGAAATGAAAATGTTTACTGCCAGCACGAACCAAACCGTTGACTGGGGACACATTTTAGGTCTATGCAAAATACAGGAAGACCAAGGTCTTCACTATGCAAACACATTGACAGCACGACACATTCATACTTCTGAAAATAAGATGAATGTTAGATTGGCAGGCCAGGTTCTGAGCAACTCTGTGAGTAAAGCGTTGATGGCTTTAGAAAAACAAAATATTATTTCTGGTTGCAACATTCAAGGGACAGCTGAATTCTGCAAAATCTTTAATGACGCATTTGATATTTTGAATTGTAGAAGCATAAATAATAATATATATATATAGACAGCCCTTAAGAATTCCGTTATGCGAAGAGAACAAGCAAAAATTGAAAAAACGTGCAAAAGAAATTGAAAATTATATATTAGGATTGAAACATGGAGAGCAGCTTGTAATATCGGGACGAAGAAAATGTGGATTTGTTGGTTTTATCATCTGCTTGCGAAATATTTTTTCTCTTTTTGAAGACCTCCAATCTATATACCAATATAAATATCTCCTGACTTACAAACTGCTTCAGGATATGCTGGAATCTTTCTTCTCGACAATTCGAATGCGAGGTGGATTCACTAATAATCTAACTTGCTATCAATTCATTTATGCAATGCGTCGTTTGACTTGCCATCAAGAAATAATCGTTTCCGATAAAGGAAATTGTTCTCCGGATAAAATTCCGATTTTGACGGTTGCAAGTGCAAATAATTCGGAAAATCTGAAGTCGGACGATAATTATGAAGATGAAGAATTTCAAGAATATGAACTTTTTGATTTTAATTTTGAAATATCGTCGCAGTTCGTCGAAGAAGCCGTGAAGTACATTTCGGGTTTTATTGTCCGAAAATTTAAATAATGTTGCTGGAGTAAAACCTGTTCTGAATGCTTCGCAAGTATTGTAGGAGAACCGGGAAATTCGACATTGATCGATATGAAAAATCGAGGATATCTTTCATATCCTTCCGATGAAATGTTTAATTTATGTTTATATATAGAAAGCCTAATTCGAAATTCTTTAAATTTAATGTACAAAAGTTCACATAAAAGCATGATTCTCCGAAAGTTGAATGACTTGGGACTTGCACATCTTGTTAGATCAAGCCATTTCCAGCAATTTGTCCAGCATTATCATGGCCTTATCAACTTTGTCGCAAAAATGTACTTAACAATTAGAATGCACCATGAAGAACATAAAAAAGCAAAGTTGATAAATATGTACGCCACTTTCACACGAAAATTGTGCTTTTTTGAACACCAATAATAAATATATTACATTTAAACAAATATTTCATTATTTCTTTCTAATTACCCATAATAGCTCTAGCCAACTGTTCTTATTTTCAGTGAATTTTATAATGTGTAAAATATATATTTAATTTTTTTTAATTTCCTTTAAGGGGTTAGGGGTACTTGGAGGTACGAAAAAATGAGATTTTTGAGTATTGTTTTTTGGTTATTAAACGATGTTTTTTTACTAATATCAATACGGCATCATTATACAATGTTTTGACTTGAAACAAAAATTTCAGAAAAAAACATTAATATTCCCAAAGTTATAGCTGTTTTTGTTGACCCTGTTTCAAAAACGGTCCTGGCGGTGACCATCATAACTTCTTAGAGATTCATCTGAATTCAATCAAATAAAAAAAATAGTTTTAAAAATAGATAATCCTGGGCCTGATCGAAAGTTTTCTTTTTTTTGAAAGAAATAACAAAATGGTAGCATCAGAAATAAAATTTTTAGATTTTTGGATAAAAAATCAACAGTTAATTGGACTTAAAAATTTGAAATTTTTGAAAAAATAAAAATTCTTTGATCAGGCCCGAGTTTATTATGTATTATAAAAGCTGTATAAATTTCATTAAAATTTACTAAGCGGTTTTTGAGTTACAGTGGTCACCGGTTCAAAAAACATAGTTTTGAGAAAAACGCGTTTAAAGTTTTACATTAGATTTACGTACAGAAATTCGAATTATTGAATTACTTAAACCGAGTCAAATGTAAATTTCGGAAACTTGTACATCAGTCATTGTGCAAGTTTCCGAAATTTACATTTGCTGTTGCCTACGAAGCATTCCGCCCTCCCGATTGTTCTCGTTGGCGCGCTGATCTGCCACTTTCACACGTGCAGCATCCAATTTTTCAGCATACCAATGGGAATTATACCCACAATTAGGGTATAAATGAATAATAATGATTATGTATATGCAATTAGCAATTTGTACGATGGTAAAACTAGTTATCACGGTTTTTAGGCATATTTTTTACACTAGTTGGTTGAAGCTTTCAATTTTTTCTGATTATGGATTCAATCTTGAACTACACATCTTGAAAGTAAAATATCATCGTAAATCGGTTTAAAATCTTTTAAACATCAGGAGGTGAGGGAGAATAATCTTGAGTATAAGTATCGAGCTCTCCACTTGCGTCAACGTGCTGGTAAGAGTCCAATAACTCAAAAAGTAATCATCGGATCAACTTGAAATTTTCAGAGAACATTTTCAAGATATTACACTTAATGAAAATGAAAAAAAATAAAAATCGATTTTTCAAAAATTCCAAGTACCTCTAGCCCCTTAAACACTTTGTATAACTAAAATAAATAAATAAATAAAAGGTTCATTGCATTCATTAGTTCAACATAAATTGTATATTATATAATATTTGCCCAACAATTTCGAACACACGGACTTCATTTGACGTTTAAGCGATCGAGTTTGACATAACTCGGCCGCTAAATTACCCTCATATGCCCTCATACCATAGAACATCTTTTGACACTTTTGTACCTGAGAAATGTATGGGGACTAGCAGTCCATGCCTTGTATAAGGTCTATGATGTCGGCACATTAATTGTAATTATAATTTAATTGTAAAATTATAATACTTATTATTATGTATATATTGATTATTACATTTATGAAAATTTTAATTGTTATGTAAAAATGTTTGCGATATATTTGAAAATATATTTTGTACTTCGTATGTTTTTTTCTCATTTCTAATATAAGAAATTATTTAGGTTTTCTTATTTTGAATTACGTATGCGAACCATATATAGGAATAATACCAGCAGTTGATTTATATACTAAATATACTGTAATGTCAAACGGACTGAGATAGCGAACTATTTATGTTTACTTATCTATGATTACTAGAAAACCGACGAACTCCGTTTCGCCACCAGACGGTTTCGTGAGAAAGATGAAAAATTTTTTGTTTGTTTTATATTTGAAAAGGAAAATTTTGATTTTATTACACAACAGTAATGAATTTATTTCGATTACAAAAATGGAATATTTTTTAGTTGAACTTCTCTAAGTAAATGAAACTGAATAGTAAATGTTTGGTAAACCACATTTTTTTGTTTTTTGGTCTGACGTTAACACAAACAAAGCGGATGGTTTCCCAACACGTGAACAGGAAACGTATAACAGCCCATATGAAAATCAATGATTTTCTAAATAATCTATTTGAAATTTATTCCCCAAACACTATGCGATTGGCCTTGAGACATGTTAATTGTCATTGCGAACGCAAAGCGAACTGGGAATTGCAATCGTTTGAAGTCAAACATAAGACCAGTCGGAATCATTGGTATTGGTATGTCACTAAATCGCCAGAAATTTTGGATTGAATGGTGAAATTCAGTGCTTGTACATCATTATTATTTGCGGCAAGAATTGCTCGTTGACCTAACCAAGCACAATTCTGATAATTCTCACTAATGTGATTACTCGAATGTAATTACAGTGCGTGAAGTTCCAGCAATTTTCATTAAGGCACGATGCACCACCAATTCTTAATTCTTAGCTATTTTCCTTGCGAAGCCCGAGACGAATGCAAAATTGTCGAAATCGGTTCGTGCGTTCTTGAGTTATATCGTCAGGAAGGAAAAACCGACTTATTTTTATATATATAAGTAGATTATTATATACTTATACGAATATAATACTTGTTTAATTATGAATATAGTTATTTTTTATTAGATAATTATTTTTACAACTGCCTCGAAACGGACGAGAAGAATATTTAAAATAAAACGAGTAAAAAAATGGAAAAATACAAATCATCTGACTGATCAGCAGTTATTGTCGAAGATCTTATTTATTGTTGATTAATGCAGAAGAAATTTTCTTTTCAACCTGGTCCTGGTAGAGTTGTTGTGAAGTTTTCTAGCGAGCAAGTGTACGATTTTAATATTTATGTGAAAAAGCAATTATTTCATCCTTGACTGAGCTTAATGCTTGTGTATTAACCGATTTTGAATCATTCTTCGGTGCTTTCAAAATTTCTTTTAATAGTTTATATTAGAATCTTTGAATTATTAAAGCGCATGTGTTGGAAGTATGGCTTTTTATAGGTAAGTAATTTAATTATGTGTGTCCAGTTTTGATTACTTACCGAAGAGCCAATAATATCTTATCCTTACCTCTTCAAGCTGTTATCTCTTTTTCTAAATGTGCTCTTCTGAGTTAGTCTTTTATTCAGGTGTAAACCTAGATATTTGACTGTATCATGACTGTATCTATTTGTTCCATAAATAATTCATTGACTGCAGGACAAGTCCTGCAATAATGTTAGTATTACGTATTGGTATGAAATATATAATTATTTTGATGTTTTCCCATTCTATAAATTTTTATCACTAATTCATTAATAGGAATAACCATTTTATCCAATGATAAATACTCAAATATTTGTGCTGTTTTCTCATAATTTAAATCCATTTTGTATAATTAATAATATGATTGAATATATTGAATTGTTTTAAAGTGATCTAAAAGAAAGTGTGGCATTTTTTTTTCCATAAGATAAAAAGAGAACACAAAACACGTGCTTGTATAGCTTAAAAGTGCAGCTCATTTGCCTGATTTTAATGAATTTTATAAAAATTAAATATTTAATTACATTTTTCAATAAATATTTTAGGATGTTCGATTGATGAACCTTATCCCCGTCTTCAATTTCTTTTTAACTTCCCGTAGGGCAAGTATAGTAATCGCAAAAAAATCGAAAATGAAAATTTTTATATATCTTTACGTTTCAGAGGTTTCTGAATATTTTGGCATACCTTAGAAAAAATGGATGTATGTGTGTGTGGTGTGGTGTGGTATGTGTGTGTGTATGTATGTATGTATGTGTG